GCCGCTGCACATCGTGTGAATAGCCGCGGACGTTTTTTGACTCACCCTCACCACGCGAGTTGACTCTCCTGGTCTCTAGTCTTCTTGGTGAGCATCAAGAAGACTAGAACCAAGAAGACTAGAACTCCTTCAGATATTCCATGGATATCACATTCTTCTCTACTATCATTACACCAAATTTCTCCCGCATCACATCGTACACCTTCTTCGGAATCTCAAAATATGCGACAACAATCAGATAATGGTGCACATTCATTGAATATTCCACAAATTAACGAAGCAACTCTCGACAAGCAAAGGTCTTGGCAGAAAAACCGATGTATAATAATAAAGAAAACATTCAATATAAAGGTATTTTTGAGGCTTGTAAACTGCAATATATGTATATTATTGCATATGAATGTAATAAACAAGTAGTAGCCTACTAACAGAAAGATATTACAGCCGTTGTAATATAGTTGCAAAAATATTAGACAAAACTGTGTAAACAGTTAAGAAAACTACACTATAATTGTGGTGTTTTTCTGGAATTTATAAGTATATTATTACATGATAAATAATAATAATTATAGATTCCAAAAAAATACCATAATCATGGTTTCTTTTTGTATGAAATATTGTGATATTTGTTACAATTTATGTTTTTTAGAAAGTACAGTATGCTTGTCCATATAAGGTGTTGACGAATTTCAGGACATGGACCTCACACTGCTGCAGAAAGCTGTGCAACAAAAGAAGTTGCTGTTCATGAAGAAGCAACATGAAGACCAACAACAAAGATGGAAAGAGCAAAAAGAATGGGAGAACAAAGTTATTAATTTAAAAGAAAAAAAACTTGAAATTCTGCAGCAATTAGTACAGAAAGTTAATCAACTCTATGAAACTTTTTAATTATAAAGAGCGTTACTTATACCAAAAATTATATACCAAAGTGTTACTTTTAAGGAATGTGATCTTTATATAATGCAATATTTTATATGTACTTAAGTTATGCAAATATTTAAGTTATTGAATATAAACTTGTAATACTGCATAAGTGTTTGCAATAGATACATTATATAGAGGGTACAATGTTACATAATAATGAAATTGAGTTAAGGTTTTATGTTTCTATTCATTTTTATGTTGTTAATAAACCACTTGTTGCAACGTTTATTACTCTATACCTTTTACATAACTTCATTTATGTATTTGAAATGGAACGTGATAAAAAAAAATGCACTTATATTCAATTTGTAAAAATATATAAAAATAGAAATATCAACGACTACATAATGCTAATTATTATTATTAAAAAAATAAGTCCGAATAATCTGTTCTCGCACATCATGACCTGTAACAGGAATGTTTTGGACGTCATTAAATCTTTCCTGATTTGCGTGATTACGATCTATTTCGTCCAAATAAAAATCTTCCATTGCCTCCGGCAACTTCCACTGAATACAAATATTGTGCAGTACTGCGCAAGCATTAACAATCACAACTGTAACAAACAAATATTATTCACAATAATTTCGGTTAATCTGATATGTTTTACTAAGGAGGATGTCATGCTTAATCTGACTACTTCTTAAAAATATAATTAAAAAAATCCTATTTCATTACCAAAAAATTATATTAATTCTTTTTTAATTCTGTACAAGGTAGCCAATTACGACATAGGTAAATGAAGCATTTATATAATTAAAATTAAAAAAAAAAAAAATTTTAAACCAGCTTTTTCAGGGGTGTAATGCAGTGTCCGATCTTTTCGCAAGCATCTTCATCTTCCTTTAAACATCCCAATACATCTTTCAATGGTTGATCTTGCTTGGACATGGTGTTCTGTATACCTTGCTGATGGACTTCCTTCGGATTCGTGTAATTTCGGAGTCATTAAATTAGGCATCAAAGGGTACCCAGAATCACCTGAAGAAGTATAATAATGAACCTTTATTGTATTATATCATAATATATGCATTCAATAGTTTTATTATGATTCTATACATATCTAAGATCCAAGATCCCTTTTCTTCGTTGACAGTCATAGTATTAAGGTGATCATATAACTGCGATGCCCGGAAAACTCTTGCGTCATGAGTTCTACCACCGTTCAAGGCATTAATCGTTCTTATTCTCATTTCGAAATCGCATACCTCCATTTCATAATCATCCACTTTTTATATCTTACTATATATTGTATATGATGAAATTATCGTTACATAACTTGATTTCTACTTACTAATAGAACATTTAGAGAATGATATAATTTCCTATTTATATATAAATGTTCCCGTTCTTGGTTTGGTAGAACTATCGCAACATGCGTCCCATCAATAACTCCGATAACACCAGGGAATTGATATGTCGCTCAAAATCTGGAATGATATTTTTATAATTGTACATGTACTTTATACATTTTTATATATTACATACAATATAATAATAGAGCATAGATCTGGAATTATATAGGGTACTACTTTTCTTTAATTTGTTGCTTGCTTTCCTCTGAAATTGGAAATTGCACCCATCGATCCATAAGGCGTTGTAATGCATTAGCAGTACGACGAATCGCACCACTGACTGATGCTTGACTCATCGATGTATCGTCACTTTCTCCAACTCGCTTTTGGTATGAACCGCTTGCAAAGAAATTAAGAGCTGCAAGTACCTACAACATTTAAATAAAATATTAATATAGTTATACTGAATTTAAATAATTCAAAAACTATTGTATGTTCTCTTTATCAATGATGAGTATTATAAGAGATACACATTTAGAAATCTGTATACACAACTATCCTTACATTTAGATGTAATGGGATTGCAGTAGCATTTACCCCTTAACCTTTAATTTATTTTTATTATTATTATATTATACGCTATCCTTTATTATTTACTTTTACAAAAATATATAAATATAACCTCAAAATTCATTACATTATGTAGATATACATACCTGTACATTTGCCGAAATTCATTTTCAGGGGTAGAAAAAGGATTACTCACATCTCTTAAAAAACGCCGTTTTAATTTCAGAGCGCGTTTTTCTTCCATGTGTACTCTTTCTTCTTCTTCGAGAATAGCACACAATGGCTGCGTTCAGC